TGTTTGCTTTTGTTTTAAGCTTTGCTTTTGCTTGCTTGTCAGAATTAATCTAAGACGACTGCCATATCTGTCAGCATTACATAAGCACAAAAAATACTGAGTGCACCTTTAAGGAAGAAGAAGAAACCTGTCACATGTCTCACCTGTTATTTTCATAGACAGTATAAGAAATGGACAGAGCCATCTCATTGGAACTCAGTTGAGACAGTTGAAGCCCATTTTTAGCGATTTTTGAGCACTTCCGTTCCTGACGCGCAGACTCAAACCGACTCAAACTAAGCTTGATGACGTGAGCAACCTGTCTGACAGACGTTACTCTTCTAGTAGCTGTGCTTGAAAATCGCCAACGTTAATCTTGCAGAGACGGGGAACTTGAGCAAAGAGTTCTTTGGCGTGAGTGAGCAGGAGTAAGTATTCCGTTGCTTTTATGGACTCATTATCTATGGGCTTCTCCCTTGACGGGACGTCCCCCCGATTGCCTGCGAGCTTCTCCTCCTGTCTGTACGGTAATTTCTGTACAGCGCGACAGAGAGTCGAGTGGTTATGACGCAATCGTTAGCCTATTTTTACTAAATCGGTTTCTACGGGGCCATAATGTAACATAGAAGGTAATGGAGCCCTTTATACATTGTCGTGTTTCTTTAGAAATAAATAATGGACAAATGGAGTCTTTAAACGCCTCAGATGTAAAGTTATTCGCTGTCAAAGTGACGCCAAAATGAATGGGAGTCAATGGAAATGCTAACGCAAGTGAAGTTCTGCTACAACATGGCGGGACCCGGCCGGCTTCAACTTCCGGTCGATGGATTACCCCCTTGGTTATTTTACGCTGACCCCCCAAAAAAGAACCCTGTCCAATGGTAGGCGAATTATTGCCTATATTCTTCAGACAATACATTCTGAGATGTTCAGTAAACTTTAACAGGGCACAGGATATAAATTGGCTACTTACACAGTCTTGACCAAAGGTTAATATTAGTGGACGATATGAAAAGAAGTAGGAATTAACAGGTGGGATTACTTAAAGGAAATGTCTTTTGAGAAAGATATTTTAGAGCAGCTAGAAGAGGCCCAGAGCCTCTGTTCGAGCAAGATCATCCATTCACACACACACACACACACGATAGGTCCAGCGGTCATGAAAGCTGCAACAAGCTACAGATTTAGCCTCTCAACCCAAAATAATTTAGAATGTCTTCAGAGAAAAGGAAAAGAAATGAAGGACAGCATGTCAAATAAATAAAATCACTCTCATTGCCCTTTTCACTATATTTGACTATAGCCCGTGTCATAGACCCAATGTCACCGGGTGCGAAGGACAAACGTCAAAATATATGTCCAAAAGAGAAAAAAAAAAAAAAAAAAAGGTTGATGATACAACTGAAAAGCTATGTCAGGTGTACTTCAGATACTGAAGAGGGCAAAGTTGGAGGCTGCAAAAAAACTATTTGAGGAAGCTCTCCACTACCACTTTCAATGTGCCATTTAGAGATTCTCAGAAGTCAAAACACAAGTTTCCTTGAAATCGACCAGAGTGAAAAAGAATCCCGTAAGCTTTCGTTTTTATGCTAGAGGGCTGATGAACAGCCGGGTCATCGCACTTACTGGCCCCAGTGGAACAATTCATTGACTCACCTTTTCTCTGCCTTTCTAATGACCATGACAGATTTAACAGACAAATACATTCAAATGGCTCCTGTTACAGAACAGACAACCATAAACCATTACAAATATGCCTGAGACAAGTGAGGGAAGAGAAAACGCAGCGCTCATCACTGTCACTTTTTACCCAACCGTCCAATCACAGTGGCGGAGGGGCGGGACTAATACCACACCGACCAACCTCCACATTCTGCTTGTACAACGTCAACAATGACAACAACAAGCATAATAAAGGAACAAAATAATTTAAAACAAGAGCCAGAGAAAATGCGTTACATTGTATCGACATTTTAATATAGAATCAACACAGAAACAAAATATGTGTGAAATGAGATGTGTGAAACATAATGTGTTGTCATTGATTCTCTCAGGCCCGGTTTCTCAGACAGGGCTAAGATTAAGCCAGGATTAGTTATAGGATTAATTTAGTTCAAGGGCATTTATATAGCTTTTATAAACGTGTCTTAGAAAAAAACATTTCTGGTGTGCATCTTCTTGAGACAAAACAATGGGAGTGACATTTTAAGATATGTCAGTGCAAGTTGCTTTCAGTTAAAACAGCTCAAACATGCATTTCAGTCTGCACGGGACTAGGCTTATGCCTTGTCTGTGAAACCGGGGGTCAATGTTTATAGTCCAGCCTAAGCCTTTAACCACAGAACTCAGATTCTATCACACTTATGTTAAGTATGATGAAGGTAACTGTTGAAAATACAGTTAGTACAGGATTGTATGAAGTTTATTCAATAAGAGTACAGTACACCTCAAAATGCACAAGGCAAGAGTTCTTATTGCTCATGTAGCCTAATTGTTTTGGCTACACGTCTATTTGCTAGACATAAAGGGGTTCATTAAAAACACTGGGTTAACACTAATTTGAAGAAACTGGAGAGGTCTTTCTCTGAATGTGCTTCGCCAGGCCACATTTGGTACGCACATAAGTGAACTAACCTCCTACTGCATATAAAAAAGGGAAAAAGGCTGTGAACCACTTCTATAAATTCAATTGTCTAGATTTAAAACAGGAGTTGTTCATTTCAAACCTAAGAGAGGATGTTATCTGAGTGTTATGAGTCTAAATCACAATTTGTACTTTATTCAAATATTCGCTTTAAAAAATATATATAGATCACGTAAGTGTTTATGTTTGGTGAAAGATTACTTGTTGAGTCATTGTCACAGCCTTTGCAGGAAGTGCTTTGACTTATAGCATATAACAACCACCACAAGAAGCAGAAAAACTAAACAAATTAATACAAATCAATGTGTGGTACCACCGTCTCCACAACTTGGATACTGACGCTTATATTTGATAAGCCCAGAAGCGCTCTTGGAGTCTCTATGAGCTGATGATATAGGTGTGTTTGATTAAGAAGACATGCAAAATGTGCATTTTTGGGGGTGCTGCAGGAACATGGTTGGGATTCTTGGGAACCGTCCTATCAAACAAAAGCAAAATTCAAAATATATAACTTAAAAAAAATACTTTTTGAAACAAGTGAAAAGCCATATTTAAATATTATGCAAATATGCACATTATTACATACTGCCATGATTGAACTGATGAACTAAATGAGGCTGGGGTAGTAGATAAACAAAAATATTTGGGCCTATTAGCTTGATCATGATTCATGTGCAAAAATCTTTGTGAAAGTAATGTTTGGGAAAGAGAAAAACAAAGAGAGCATACAGTGGGGGAAACAGCACATTGAAAACTTGGATCAAAATGTGAAACAATGGTGTAAAATTGATAAAAAAAAATATGAAAGATGCTGCACTATTTCTAGGTCATTAATCAAATAAGCAAATTTGTGATACTGACCATGTAAACTTCTTTGAGTGATGCTGTGATTAACAGAGCTGAAAGTTACTTTTAAAAGTGATGCATTACAATATTGCGCAACTCCCTAAAAATGTAAGCAATTGTGTTACTTAGTAACTATTTATGGAAAATAATGGATGCACTGAAATGAAAATTCTGGGCCGAAACCGAAAATTCAGGATGCACTTGGCCTAAATTCGAAATTAAATAATCAATTAATTAATCAAACTTTTCAACACTCAAATAGCTAAAACTGGGTTGTACGAACATTTAACTTGCACATAAGGCAGTTTTTTTATCAACATTTTTTTTTAATAACAGAATTTTTTCTGCTCCAGTTTTTTGGAGAAATATAAACAGCAATAAACAGTACTAATTTGTCTTCATGACAGATTTATTCAAATAGCCTAATAGTAATAAGTAAATATATAATGAATTTTTAATACAGTGCATTTACCAAAATGCTCTTTTTTTCTATTAATGAGTTTATGGACATTGAATAGCTTTCTTGAAAAAGATTTTAGATTTAAGAACCATTAAAAGTAAACATTATCAATCCAGGGTGTCCACACAACTGACATGTTTAACTGAACACAGTCAAACACTGAACACAGTCAAAACGTGCCATCAGAGAAGTGCTAATTAAACGTCTGTTTCGGTCACTGATTTAGGCCCTCCAAACCATTTCGGCCCAAAAATTCGGTATAGCCGAAATCTCTGTGCATCCCGAGACACTAATGCGTCACGTTATTTTTGCGTTAGTTTTTCTCATCTGGGCTGGCTTGTTTGATTTTAATTACAAAATTGTAGTTACTCAGTGTCTGCATACACCGAAAAACTCAGTAATACTTATACAGTTTACCACACACCAAAGTGAGAGGAGAGCTGATGAGTGAGACTGATAAATATACCATTCGTCGTTTGTTTACCTGTAACGTTAGCCTTTTTCTGTGCATGTCTTCACTTTCACTCTCTCGGGAGCTTCAACCTCCTTTTATCCACTTTCTAGTTTAATTACTGTAACGTTAGTAAAATATGTCGCCTTGAAAACCTTGCACTAGTCTTACTGAATTAGTATGGTTTGGGTACTATTACCCTTTTACATGTATGAAGAAGATTACAGCATAATTCCTGTTCAACTGGCTGCCTACGTCGTCTGCCTCAGATTTCCCGCAGTTCCTTGAATCTGATAAAAAAACTGTACACACGTCATAGGTGCTCTGATTGGCGAGGGACATTTTTGCATTTTTGTCGTCTCCGATTGGCTGCATTCACAGAAGCGAACCGGTGTTGTATGAGCTGTACCATTCTTTCTTAAAAGGGGTGGATGAGTAACTTTTTTTATGGATGGTGAGAAAATATATATGGTCTTTTGCTTAAAAATGACGCTTTACAACACATTTTTGTATTATTATTGATTAAAAAGTATAATATCAGGAGAACTATATTGTGTTTAACATAAATATCCCTCACTTCCACTTTGTAACACCCACCGTTTAGGATTCGAGGTCTCGCCCAAAAATGGCTGTGGAGAAACAGTTATGAAGATGTGTCGATCTACTCACCTAATTAATGTGGCGCATGCCCCAAATTAACCAAGAGTCCTCTAATCGAGCTGGAGGACATTCCTGGAAGGTGAGGCACAAGATGTTCCGTTATTTCCATTATTTCGTGCAGAAAAGAGGAGCCCAATGGGCTCACTGTGCAGTCGTGTTACGACTTTTATTTTCAGCCAATAGGAATCACAGTGCGATCACAGGCCAGGGCCTTCAAAGATGTTTTTATGCTGAATAAAACACAACACTGAACATAATACTGCATAGAAACAAGTCTTTAGCACAGAAACGGCAACAAAACGTTCCTAAAAGCATTGCAAAGTTCATATTCACACGGATGTATTCATATTTCTGTGCACAGTGAATACAGTTCGCATGTCATACCGTTTTAAAAGTGACATTGTATTAATAGAATAGTAATTGCTTCGCTACATCCATATATAAATTCAATAAGTTGTTTGTTTGCGTTCCGTGTGATTGCAGAGGCATTGTGCATCTCTTTAATTGCACTGCGAGATGTTTTCTTTGTTGATTAATTATCTCGTAACATAAAGTTGTATAAATTACTTTTAATATTTTAATTTTGTACGTGGGACTCAAATTTCCCAAAATATCCATTTCTGCACAGACTTTGTGATAGTTCACACATTCATGGTTGTCAACAGGTGCTATCAGTGTTGACATTTTCCTGTATTGTTATAGTACTATTTTCCTTGTAAGCATAGTGATAATGGTTTGGAAGAAGTAGAAATGGTAATAGCAGGGATTGGAAAATTTCTTACCATAGCTTGTTCTCTATAAACTTTGCTGTGGATGAAGTATAATGGCAACATTTGTGGGCTGATGATGTAACTGCATGTTATTGTGATTGTTTGCATTATGTGTTACACCCACTTTTTGCATAGTTTTTAGAAGGTAGAAGTTTTAATATTTGCGTTGGGTGTGTAGGCTATGTTACTTACCTAATGCATTATGAGACTTTGGGGAATGTAATATATTTTGTAAGTGTCTGATCTCAGCTAGCAGTTTGTAAATATCATAGGCCAGCCTGTTAAATGAGGTGCTATAATACTGTTTATCCATATTGTGGTTATTTACATTGCTTTCCCTGAAATTAATTTGAAAGTAAGGCCTGTTTACACTGCATGCTCAAGGTAATGTGAAACAACACCATCACTGCATCAGCTTACACACCGACAAATGTAAGAAAGTGCTGTTTATGCCTGTCACATATGTAAACTGCATTGACCCCGGGGTTATTTTTTTATTTTTATTAAAAAAATAATATGTAGGCCTAAGCATTTTGCTCAATGTGCATCTTATGTTGCTTCATATAGGCTATTGCTGTGTTGTGTTGATAAATAGCGTCAGTACATTGTGGAAGCATCTTTTTTTCAGTTCAATGTAGGGCTGCAACTAACGATTAATTTGATAATCGATTAATCGGGCGATTATTTTTTCGATTAATCGGATAAAAAATTCAATTTGATTTTTTTGTTTATTATAACTAAATAAAACCCTAAATCAGGGTATATTTATGTGTAAAAGTGTACTTTAAAAAGTGCAAAAGCCACACATTGAGTTTTACTAATATCAATATTTGCATTGTTTTTGATAATTGCTGATGGCAAGTTGACAACCATGATTAATGTAAAAAAAAAAAAAAATTATATCCAACATATTATGTTTTAACACAATTTTTGTTAAAACAAATTTACACAGACATGTTGTTCAGATGTGAAGATATAAACTAAAAACATCTAAAATATATAATTCATATAATTCAAAATATATAAATCAAACATCTAAAATATATAATTAATTTAATTTGTATTTAAAATTAATTGAATTATAAGGATACATTGATAAAATAAATATAGAAAGACTGAAAACAAGCGTGTGAACGTAGAGCCGCAGTAGATCGCGTTTGAAAAACAATTAAAACTTAAAGGGGTCATATAATGCCATTTTTGTACAAGCTAATATGATTCTTTAGGGTTTAAATTAAAAGTTTGTAATATACTTTAATTAAAAATTCTCATTAGTATTGTAAGAAAACACTTATTTTACCTGGTCAAAAACAGCTCTGTTTTCAGCACGCCGTTTCAGTGCATATGACTTTAAATGATAATGAGCTTTGCTCACCCCGCCTCTCTGTTCTGTGCGTATACCATTTGTAACACAATAACACAATAACCATAACGCGTTGTTCAGTATAAACGTGGGATTATGAATTATATTGAGAACGTCATACATAGAAAACATGCCGTAATGTACCCTGAGTGTACACCTTAGACGCATTCATTGTGAAGCGTGCAGCTAGCGATTTGCAAAGATTAATATATTAATATAAAGTTTAATAAAACGTTATACTCACTTCCGTTCTTCTGGAGATTCAGCAGGAACACGAATATCTGGTACCGATCCTTTTTTCATGAGCAGCTTCTTAGCAAATCCAGCTTTATACTGATCCTCGTTTATAAAGCAGTCTGGTGTGTGAAATGATTCGCGCAAACATGAAAGCATTGACGTTGCTCGTGGGGAATATTCCCTTCGAAAACAAACTCAGCCACTGCGTCTTCAGCGGTTCGGATTTAGGAACATTAAAATGACTGCTGTGTTCGTTATTACACCCAAGAACAGAACACCACAATCGCTTAGACGCCATTCTGCTCATAGACAGTGCTCCAGCATATCAACAATGACCACGCCGGTCCGCGCAGACTATGATTGACAGCTCCCTCACGAGCGAGGGCGGGTCTGTGTTGAAACGCTCCTGTCAATCAACAATCGTGGGAGGGGCTTCCGACCGTGTGACGTCACACGGTCGAACGGCTCGATTTGAGGCAGGGGAAAACATATATAAGGAGATTAAAGGATAATTCCGGTATTTAACACTTTGAGTCTATTTTCTAGTTTGTTTTGGATGAACTAGAGTGGTGGACTTAGAAATTTTGACGATGGGTCCTGTCTCGACTTTTTTAATATTTTAGAATCGCCTCTGAGCGCTTCAGAGTGGATGTCTATGGGCATGCTCAAACATGTCCTTAAAACAACCCTTAACGTTCGTTTTCAAAACTGTGCAACTCACCGAGTGGTTAGTGGTGTTCGTTGATGTTCCAAAACAAGTAGCGTAGCGAAATACAGTTTCTGTCGAGTTTTATTTGCCATTTTTTTAAATCGCATTGATGTCTGCTGGAGGACTCAGTGCTCGTTGATATTACTGCGCTACCGGAAACGGAAAGGGGTCTGTTTACATTTGGTTGTAGTCTTTTCGCTCGGTTCTCCGTCTCTCAGAAGGCTAGCGTGAGCTGAGCAGCTGCGGCAAAGTGGTTGTCGCCATCAAGTGGTCGGGGGTGTGCTAACGCTTCAGACTCAAATATCGAGCGGAAGTTTATACGCGGTTGTGAGGTATCTGAAAAAATATATTTGTTTTTAATCATCAACGAACACCACTAACCACTCGGTGAGTTGCACAGTTTTGAAAACGAACGTTAAGGGTTGTTTTAAGGACATGTTTGAGCATGCCCATAGACATCCACTCTGAAGCGCTCAGAGGCGATTCTAAAATATTAAAAAAGTCGAGACAGGACCCATCGTCAAAATTTCTAAGTCCACCACTCTAGTTCATCCAAAACAAACTAAAAAATAGACTCAAAGTGTTAAATACCGGAATTATCCTTTAAAACAAAAACACTGGATGGATTTTTATCATTTTATGATGGTTGTGTACAGGCACTGCCAACACACATTTCAGTACAATCAACTTGTAAAAGTGCATGTACCATTATATGACCCCTTTAATAGTAGACAAATGCTGTAAAAAGAGAACGGAATGGAGGTACGCAGCAAGCTAACATGCATGATTAAAAGGACAGGAAAAATGATGCATTAGTGCACAAGCATTCGCTGAAAACCACTGAGGCCACCCTTAAAAATATTTTGGTTTGCAGTAACAGCAAAAAAAAAAAAAAAAGGGTAGGTAGGTCTATTTTTTTTTTCAAGATTCAATGTAAAAAAAAAAAGGATAATTTTGGTCATGGTGATTACGTCGGTATGAATTTAAACAAATTTGCATATCGTGACGTCACTGACTGGGTCTTCAACCCCCATGCCTTCGGGCGCACCATTGCGAACCTCATTCTGATACAGGTTATAGACCACAAACAATTTGAAATCTTTGTAAAAAAAAAAACATATTTATTGCATTAATTCCAGCTGCATTCATTTGGAAAAAAATAGGCAGAATCAAAAAGAAAAAAGAAAAAAAAGGAGCCACTAGATTTCAATGAAAGTGGCTTTTCAGAGGGAAACAAATAAATTAAAATGACTAATCTCACCAGCGCCGCGCTGACCAATAAAACAGCGCGTTTGGCACCATTCGTTTACATTTGACCCATACTGTTACAAGCCCCCTTTCTGGTCTAGGGGCAGGAAAGGAGGGTAACAAAAAGTTGCAGGGAGAGAGTGAGAGATTTGACCCATAAACATCTGCTATTATTAACGGAAATCAGTGTGGTCAAATAGCTAGGCGCATTGTAGGAAACTATAGGCCGATTAAGTAGTCCTGACATATTATGGAATGGTCGATTTTCTTTTGTGCAATTTAGTACATTTCGGTATGGGATGTGCTGTTTTATTGGTCAGCGTGGTGCTGGTGAGATTAGTTCGCGCCGCTCTGACCATTGGCTGGCCCAAGCAAACAGTTCTCCCTGCGCTGTCGAGTCTTTCGCGACTCGCGCGGCTCGGTCCATTGAGCCACGCAGATTAAAAGTCAGCGCAGCGCGAACTCTGTAACACACCGCGCCGTTTGTCCCACTTTCGGTGTGTTTGGCTTCCCACACTTATGTGTGTTTGTTTGTCAGAGCCTGCAGTTGCTGTGTGACGCGCGTTCGCGGTGGGCATATCGTGACGAGCTGGACGCGCTCCGAGAAAAGGCCGTTAACATCGATTCCCTATTCTCCTATTCCATATTTGACCATTAAGAATTTCGAATAATGAGCGACTAAATGTAGGCTCATACAGACGTATTTCACAAGCAGCCGCGCCGCAGCCATCATCACCGAGCGCGAACCATTG